CAAAAGCAAAAATGAACAAGTGGGACTATATCAAACTAAAACATTTCTGTACAGCAAAGGACACCATCAGTAAAACAAAAAGGCATCCTACAGTATGGGAGAATATATTCATAAATGACATATCCGATAACAGGTTGACATCCAAAATATATAGCGATCACGCACCTCAACAAACAAAAAGCAAATAAGCCAGTTAAAAAATGGGCAGAGGATCTGAACAGACACTTCCCCAAAGAAATTCAGATGGCCAACAGGCACATGAAAAGATGCTCCACATTACTAATCATAAGGGAAATGCAAATTAAAACCACAATGAGATAGCACCCCACAACATCCATAAGACAAACAACAACAAATGTTGGTGAGGATGTGGAAAAAATGGAAACCTCCTACACTGCTGGTGGGAATGTAAATTAGTTCAACCATTGTAGAAAGTAGTATGGAGGTTCCTCAAAAAACTCAAAATAGAAATATCATTTGACCCAGAATTCCACTCCTAGGAATTTACACTAAGAATGCAGGATCCCAGTTTCAAAAAGATGTATGTACCTTTATGTTTATCACAGCACTATCTACAATAGCCAAGAAATGGAAGCAACTCCTAAGTGTCCATTAGTAAATGAATGGATAAAGAAGATGTGGTACATATACACAATAGAATATTATTCAGCCATAAGAAGAAAACAAATCCTACCATTTGCAACACATGGATGGAGCTACAGGGTATTATGCTCAGTGAAATAAGCCAGGTGGAAAAAAACAAGTACCAAATGATTTCACTCATCTGTGGAGTATAAGAACAAAGAAAAAACTGAAGGAACAAAACAGCAGCAGACTCACAGAACCCAAGAATGGACTAACAGTTACCAAAGGGAAAGGGACTGAGGAGGATGGGTGGGAAGGGAGGCATAAAGGGAAAAACGGGGTATTATGATGATCAGCACACATAATGTAAGGGCCTGTCACAGGAATGCAGTATAACACAGAGAAGACAAGTAGTGATTCAATAGCATCTTACTATGCTGATGGACAGTGACTGTAATGGGGTATGTGGTGAGGACTTGATAATGGCAGGAGTCTAGTAACCATAATGTTGCTCATGTAAGTGTACATTAATGACACCAAAATTTTTTTAAAAAAATTTTAATTCTGACATCAATAGCATATAAATTCCAAAGTGAAACAGCTGGAGTTAAGTGTTTTAACATCTTTGTATTATATGGTACAGGTAAGAGTATGTTAGATATTGTTAAGTCCAAATGTATGTTGTAATATCTGAGATAATTTCTGAGATAATTATGAAGAGAATTCTAGTGATATGCATAGAGCCATTTTTGTAAAATATTTTAAAATCAAAAACAAAAAAAATGGGAAGAAGCAAATGCTAAGAGTAAGCGGAACAAATGGACAGCACTCAGTAAGATGATAAACTTGAGAAATTACATGAAGTATAGGTCTCTAAGCATTCCAATTAAAAGGCTGAATGAAATGAAACTCAAGTATAGGCTGTTCATAAGAGACATCTCTAAAACATGAGGACAAAGAAAGTTAGAATATCAAAAGATAGAAAAGGATAATACCATGGTAATGATAATGAACAGAAAGTTAAAGTCAGCTATATTAATGTGAAACAAAATAGACATTTAGGAAAAAAACACTAATAACACTGAAGAATCATTTCATAATAATAAATTCTTTTTAGAGATATATAACTGAAACTCTCAGGTCAGAAATTAATCCATTTTGTCAATACAATGCAACTTGAAAAATCTGCTTTACAGAGGTATATGCTTCTGCTTGCTGCTTAGTTTCCTGAGTTTCCCTCAGAATTTGGCAAAGGGTTTGAGGAGAAAGCCAGCAGAGTCCAGTTCTTCACTGCCTCCTTTACAGCCCCTCAATTTTTGTTATCTGCAGCTCTTCGAGACTGCCGAGACCTGCTGGTTTTTCTGCTGCTAGTAACTGCCCCTGTCAGACAGAATTCAGGGGCCTAAAGGAAGAAACTCTGACGCATCAGCTCCCTTCTATGTTTACTGTTCCTTCTCAGGAACTGTGTGCCCTCAGGTCTTAGGTGCCTCTTCAGCTCTCCAATCTCTCCAGTGACTTCAGACTGATGTTATTATATCCTGTTTTTCAAGTTGTCTCAGCTCAAAGTTAGAAATGAATGTCTACTTAAGTTTTTTGAACCTCAGATTCTTCCTTAAATTGGGGATAAGACCAGGCTGCATTTCCTCCCTCACAGAATGGATATGAGAAAAAGTAAAGCAAGATGTTTATCTGAGTTAGTGATACTGCTGCTGCTGAAGACCCTAAGACATGTGTGGCCTTCCAAAAGGTCCGTCCCCCCACCAGTGTACAGGTCCAACACATCAGCGTGTCCTGCTCATTGAAATAATAATATTATAATGGAATCGAAGGAATGATTTATTCATTTTGTTCCATGATAACACCCATAAAATTAAAGAAAAATGACTTAAAACATTTCTTCCTTTTTACAATTTTCCTGTTAAAGAAATGTATCTTGCAACTTGAAAGGAGGAACCAGGCCAGAAATATACTGTTATTTCCAATGTTATTTCATTCTAACTTACTTTCAGTGTGATTCAGATTTATGGTTAGAGAGTAAGGTAGTGTGATAATGGAAGTCACTGCATTATTCAAAAGTACCTGAATAAAAACTACTCAGTGAGATATGGTTGTGAAATAACAAAGTCAAAGAAAAGTGAATCTCTTTTATTCCAGGATTTAAATATTTCTCCAAAGAATTGGAAAATAACCCCCTCTCTATCACCTCTCCTTAAAGAAGCAGTAACATCAGCGCATCTTACCTTTTGATTTTGCAAAAGCTTACTTAAAAGTGCACTGGAAATGAACCTGGCAGGGCCTTTGTCATCTAACTTCTCCGAGGAGAAAATGTTAATTAGGGCTTACCAGTAGTCAAACAAAGCTAAACAAACACCAGTTTTTTGTGTGGAGAAAGAGTGAGAGAGACTTGATGTGTTATATTCAGTTGTTAATTCTGATGACCAAGACACTTCCCCAAAAAACAAAGCATTATTCTCTAAGTTAGTACTCACTGCAAGGATCACATTTTCATAAGGAAGCTAAGGCTCACACAGAACCTGTAATTTACTATTGCAGTAACATATATTCAGTGAAGTTGGGTACTCCTGTGTAATTTGCCTTCCCAAAAAAATGGCTGGAAGAAAAATAATGTGATGGCCATGGCTTTAGACATGTTGAAGATAGAATCTTTATATAAATGTTATCTTGCTGCTACTTTAATTGAAAAGAAAAGTCCCAGGATTTATTCTCTTTTGTTATATTATTTTGAATTTACTGTTTAAGAATATATGTTCATTTTAATTCACTTCATGTAACTGTTAGATAACATGGTTGCTATTATAGTGTATTTAGTACTCAATGTTTAGTAGAACATTGTTAGGACAAACAAGAATTTAGTTGTCCTTTCTCTTTTCTTCCAAATAGTCAGCATCCAACAACAATTTTCCTATAACACAGAGGCAAATGTTCTCCTCCCTTGCTGAATCCCCAGTCTGGATGGAGATCCTTGTTTGAACAGAATAGTCATCTCATATCATTTTGGCTATCCATAACCAAATTTCTTAACAATTGTAGACCTTTTTTTGCTACCTGGGATGAAAAACAAACCTGATACTCCCCTTTACCTCTTAAAAAACCTTTTTGTTTTCATGTAATACTACTTTATTCATGGATATCCTATTAGTCTCAATTATCTCACTGATCTTTAAGCACATAGAATCCATTTTTATAGATGTTATAAAAATTGGACTTATTTTCCATAAACAGTATGAAGGTGATTGGTTTATAAGCATTTTGATGTATGGAAACCTAAACATCTACTTTAGGAAATGTGTAGGAAAGATAGAGAAAGAGATGTCTGGCTCTACTATTAGTCTGTACATTTTGATGGCTTACTAGAAATCTAGGAACTCAGATGTATAATTTCAGAAACTCAGTTTTATCAATTTACTTTTCAGTACCTCAAAATACACTCCAGCTAAGTAGTGAAGACCAATGAAATTCACTAGTACCGAATGTTTTCGTTTATATTAACCTTAGTTTTCTCTAGCATCAAAAAGGCAGTGTTCATTCTTCCCAATCTCTAGCACTAGTTTTCTCCTCATAAGAATTGATGGCTTAGACCTTAATGATTCTCACTGGCACAAATAATAAAGTATAATTTTTACACTAGCTGGTGTCATTTTCAAAATACTACTACCAAATGAAGTTTTACTTGGGAAATTCATAATGTAAGGATTACTGCCCAGTATCTGCATGCATAATGAGTATCATAACGTATATCATAGGGTTTCACGTATAATATTTCTGGTAATGTGAAGAAATTTGGGAAAAAATGTCTCAAGGCTGGCTTTTGAGAAACTTATGAATATACACAGTGCCCCACCATCAATAAAGTATGCATGTTCTCTCTCCCAATTCCCCTTTTGGCTGTGAGTCTGTGAGTGTGTAATGCTTATCATATAAAGAAAGTTGCCACAATGTGCATATGAGAATCTTTATTTAGCTAAGCATTCAAATATTAATTCTTAGTAACTCTCTTATTACTAAAGTCTATGAAGATTACGAAGATTATGAGTTCTCAGTTACTAATTATATGATCCTCTGAGTAGGGTTTGAGAGATTTTTAAATTTAAAAAAAATCAGATGAGCAAGAATTCTTTATATGTTAATTCTGCAGAGTATTAAAATTAAACTCCCTAGTTAAAGCTCTGAAAATGATTTGCAATATCTCTAAATGTAATTTGACTTAAGTATTATTGTAAACTTTATAGGGAAAGACATCTACTCTCTTCTTCCTAGGTGCAGCCTATCCAGGTGACAAATACTAAAATTACAAAACTAAAAAGTTTTATTATCAATGGCTATTAAATTTTTATTTATTTATATTTATGAAAGGCCTTCTGAACTCTGCCACATAACCAAAATTTTTTTTCCAGAATTACCCCTGGACTACAAATTTATGAGGTTCTCTTCAAAGAATTCAAAAACAGCTGGCTACTATCCAAACCCTCCACTGATTTTATCAAATGATGAGACACTAAAAACCAAATAATCTTTACTGAAGAATGAAGTGAAGAACCAGATATGCAGCACATGTACTGTAAAAATGTTAATTTTTAAAAGTATACTGTAAAATGAACAAATTCTTAATAAATACTGACCAAGATGTCAGTATGTTTTTCAATAGGTCTTCTTTCTATATAGATTGCCTTGACACCCAACAACTCACCTTATATTGAAATCTCAGTATCTTAGAACTGAAAAGATCTTTATTTATATTTTCTATGCTAATAACTCTGCCATTAGAATTCGCCCTGGGGAGATATGCTTGCACATCCACACATACATACACACACACATTTACACATATGCCTAGACCAGTAGTTCTCAAAGTGTGGTCCCCAAACCACTAGCATAGCATCACCTGAGAATTTGATAGAAATGCAAATTTGCAGACCCCACCCCAGACCTACAGAATCAGAAAACCTGGGAATGGGACCCAGCAATTTGTGTTTAACAATAGTATGTTTCACACAAAGTTTGAGAACCACTATCTAGACCATAACCTCCTATTGGTTTAGTTGGTCTGGGGATATACATGAACATTGACATCTTTAAATGCCCTGGGAAAATGCAGCCAGAATTGAGAACTGATCTATACCTGTTCCTTCAATTTATAGCCAAGAACAGAATCCACTAAGAATAAATTATTTTTTTCACATGATCAGGTTTTATTCTGTTACTGTGTTTTCAAAAAAAAAAGGCATGATTTCTTCTGAGACCACACACACAGCCAATATGGAACAAAGATAATCTGAAATGGGAAGCCAACTATTTTAACTTCCAGGGTTACCAGGTAGGGTTTGTCTCCCCTAATAATGTTGGATTCATTTTCATTCACTTAAAGGCATGTATCCTCAATGGGACAAAAACTGGTTCTTGGAAAAAATTTTTGATAAGGGAATGGATTGGAGCCTTCCAAAGTTTAACCCTACCCAATAAAATCTTTTTTCTTACTATTAATTTCTCTCATTAGGGAGAAATATAATTCAAATTTATTTATTAAATTTAATTTGGGCTTAATTTTTCTCCTCAGGGAGTGATAATGAAAAAAAAAAGTTGAGAAAAACTGCTTTTAAGAGGTTTTGTAGTTTTTAACAATACAGGATCATTGTGTTCTGTGTGCTATATGTAGTCATATTAGTGGCTATTTGTTGCAAAATGTTTGGAGCCAGATAATGTTTACAATATAAATTGCTGGCTACTCTTTATGCTGTAATTTCACTCTGTCCATCATGGTCAGTGTCAGAAATCATAGTGGTCACTATCATTATTTTTCTGGGATTGTAGTAGAGAATTTAGCATATTGACACATGCAACAAAAAGATATTTTGTTAAATTTTTAAAACTCATATAATCCCAAATATATTGTGGGATGAGTATCTCAGGTTAAATAAACAGCTACTGAAATTTTTTCCTCAAAGTGAGTAGTAGCTTTGTTTGATATCCACTAATATGTGGTAATATATTTCAAATTGATTTTTCCAGCATTTCATTGGAATGATAATGAGCATACATTATCAAGTTTAGGGCTAAATGAAAGATGCTATCTCATGTATACTTTCAATAAATATTATTTTAAAAATAAAGCTATTTTCCCTTCTGCATATTTACTTTGTCAATGGCAAAGAATAATACAGCTTTAAATGCTTATGAACTGCTATTGCTAAGATGAAAAATGAGAACCCCAAAAACCTTAACTGCATTTTTTTGGCCACTAGAAGTGGGAAAAAAAACTGACTCAAATCAGAAGTTTAAGTCCTACTTGACTAGTATCTACCTGAGGAATCAAAACAAGTTACAATCCCACCTCATTTTTTATCATCGTTAGAAGGTTAGACTTTATTTTTAAGTTTCCTTCCCATCCTTCTAGTAGAGTCAGTCAATGAATGTTCTTTCTGTTGGACTTTTAAAATTTTTATTTCATTGTTTCTAAAAAGTGGCAATATTTCTAATTGGATATGAAAAGTAAAAATAATCATCCAAAATTGGCACTATAAAAATTTAAAAGAAGATATTAGAGAAGAAAAATAGTATATTCCTTAATAAAATTTGAAGTAAAAAAGTAGGAAAGTGGTATAAATGAGCAGAGGACTTAAGTTTAGTATTAGTATACAGGCAGACATTTATCATCTAAAGGATACCTACAAATAAATGCAAGGGAGCTGAAATTTTCTTTGCTGGTCACTGTTGATCTCATCAGCAAAGGAAAGATTTGAAGGACACATTGGTCAGTTTGTCATAATTTGGTATCTGGAATATTGAGGTAGCAGAAACTTTAATGAACCACAAATTGCAATCTAGAATCAACTACCTCAGAGTTTATTAAACTCTAAACTGAAATCAAGTATTACTTCCCCACGAGTGCTCATATATATAATAACTTTATATTTAAAGCATATATATATATATATATATGTGTGTGGTGTGTATATATATATATATGCACATACACACGTATACACACACTTCTGGTGAATTGGTTTGAGTGTAAATCAAGCCTATATAATTATTTTATATAACAAAACAGCATAACATGGTATGTCAAACTATCCCTTTGATACCAATAACCCTGACTATGTTAGGATCACATGGGTAGCTTTTTTCAAATGTGTGATGTTGCAGTAATATTCCTTTACATCTTCTCAGGCTTTTAAGCCCATGGTTTTCATAAGTGTTGGCTTCCAGATTAGTGCAAGACTAGCACTAATATATTTGAGAATTCACCCAGTGTGGTCCCTTGAAAATCCATGTGCATTGTGCAGCCACATAGAATGAATTCAAAAAGGTGTTTCCTGTTGTTGACTCAAGAATTATCATCAGAATTATGGTAAAAAAAATCATGGTAATGAGTGCTTGATTCCTCACCAGGCTATTTCATGTACTTTACCTTATTTGCTCCCTATTTACCCCCTGCAGCAACTATATGAGGTGTGTGTAATTATTAAAATTTTACAGATAAGGACACTGAAGTTCACAGAGATTAAAATGTTATGCTTGCTCAAACTTGCAGTGTTACTAATGAATAGAGTCTGTACTAAGTTTGCTTAAGTTTGGCCCCAAAAATCATGCTCTTAGCTGACGGACACATAAGTCTTCCAATATTGGCTCTTGATTTGGGGGAAATTCCCAGTCTAGAACCACACTTCAATTTAATAATCACAGCATGTTAGGACATGTGAGGGATCAGAAATTAAGATAATCTCTGTCCTTAAGCAATTTAGAATTTAGTAAAATATCTACAACATAGAACTTACCTGGAAGAGTAAAATAGAGAACCACGAATCACAGGAGTCCTAAAATGTATCACTCTTAGAAGCCACATATACTAAAGCCATCAAAAAGCAGATCTACTCTTCATATTCAGGTTCAAACATTCTCCTTTAATAGTTGACAGATTTCCCTCTCTGGTACCAAGGAAACCAAAATGGAGAAGGAATAATGAAAACTGGTCCAAGTAAACTTAGTAGGAAATGGGCTATCTGAGCCTATTAGGAACTTGGGTTATTACGTAGAATGAGAACAGCACGTAGAATGCCTAACAGGTTTTTCTACCATGCACCTATTTCTAGAGTCTTAAAAATATTTATCTATTGTTTGTTTTACTTTCTTGGTACTTTGGCCTAAGTACTTTTTGGCAAAGATCAAGCTTAATAAAATTGGACGTTTTATAAAGAAGAGAAGGAAAATACTAGTAGCTACCTGTTAAAAGCAACCACCAAGTTGAATTTTAAAAATTCTCTAAATTTAACAGATGTCAACATTTCTTCACAGTTCTTAGCAACTAAATTTATAGATGTATTTAGAGTCCTTTTGGTGCATTTTCTCCCTTTGATGAGTGAACAAACTGCTAATTTCACTTACGCACCAAACATCAAGATTATGTATGTAAATCTCAGGAATGTTTTACTGTGTTCAGAGTGTTGTATTAAAATAAATGACAAAGTACCATTTACAAGTGGGTTAAGAATAACCTTCAGCTGAGTCCTGAATACCCACATAAGTAAGGTTTTTGTTTTGTTTTATGCCAAATTTAATACAGATAACTGTTAGCAGAAGGGACTCTAGCTTGAAATAAAAAACTTGAGTCTGTGTGGCTTGCATCTTAGGCAGTTTAACTTTCTGAGCCTGTTTTCTCAACTATTAAAATGGAGATTATTTTAGGATTATGAAATTAACATGAGAACACAAGTGAAAGTGCCTGACGTATCTCAGATCTCAAGATTGTCACACCAAAGAAGGTGTATCTGACAAAATCGAATACCAAGATTCAAATTACAACTCCACGGGGCAGGGCAATAAAAAATTAAGAATATAGGTAATCCATTTGGTTTTTAATAATGAAATTGGATTTAAGGAAACTTGAGTAAGCTGGAGATGGAGCAGCAGAAACAGAAAATGATGAGGAGGTGATCTGAGTGAGGAAGGTCAGGTTTATGGGTGTCCGAGCTCAAAACCCAGAGCAGAAAAGCTTACTACTCATGGGGCCATATAGCCTAAGTAGACCAAAATGACTGCGCTCCCTTGGTGAACAGATGGGAGAACCTCTTAACTGGTTTGGAAGTCAGCATGAAGAATAATTTGGGTCTAGAACTGAGGAAGAAGAAAAAGCAATGCAAAGTGGGAGAACCTCTTAACTGGTTTGGAAGTCAGCATGAAGAATAATTTGGGTCTAGAACTGAGGAAGAAGAAAAAGCAATGCAAAGTGGGAGCAGGGAATAGGAGTGAACCAGCTGGCTGGTAACTGAAACCTAGAGAATGCCTGTGTTACAACAGAACAGAAACAACGGAATCTGTAACAGATGAGTGGTACCAGCCTTCTAGAAAAACTGGTTAGGCTAAAGCTGACAATAAACCAAGGGCAACAAAAAGGATATTTGCTGACTCGTAGAACTAATTAATGCTTGAAACAAGTGACTGATGATGCAGACATCAATCACTAAAACTGAAAAGGTAAAAGGAACATTGTGAGAATTTAGGATTAGATGGGTGTAGAGCCTGCAAAAGAAAATATAGCTAATACTAAAAAGTTCTCCAGGCCTAGAAATCAGCCAGTCTAACTATACTTAACAATCTCTACTTCAAATCAGTAATTTTAGGTAGCTTATGTCAAATTTTTGTTTGGATGACTAAAAATACTTGGTTATTCATCTTCACAAATCTTGCAGCATCCACAGCCCTCTACTACGGAGAATGCAGAGGTATTTATCTCCTAAACCTTCCTGTGATAGCTGCTGAACAGCAAAATATTACTGGTAATTGAAGTTATGTCCCACATCATTTGTTTCTAGACATATTTCAATCATGTTATTCTTTCTTTTTAAGGCACCACACTGGTGTAAGAAATTAGTACTTACATAATGCACAATGACTAATTTTTCTGCAACTCTACCTTAAGCTTATTAAGAGTAAGACAAAGGAGGAATATAGTTACCATAAATGTAGTAAACAAGGATGGTACATGGAGGACAGTTTTCCACTGTTAATTATTTTAAGTAAATGACAATATGGTGCTTTAATTGCCACCTAAAACTACACTGGTTGTACAGGGAAAATTATGCCAAATATGCAATTGCAGTTGGGCTTATTTACCATTTTCCAACTAAAAAACACTTGGAAGTTTCTGGTGGCTCTTGCCCTCCCCCCCTTTTTTATCAAAGCTTCAGCCCTCCCCCCCTTTTTTATCAAAGCTTCAGAATGATGTTTACTGTGACAACTTGATAATTTTATTTCCCAACCTTTTATTAGCCTAGACAACACAGAAATTTATTTTTTAAGAAAACAAGAAATACAGCAGAGTGACCAATTTTATTTTGCCTTCAAGCACAAAGGAGAAGACTAAAATACTAAATTCTTCTTTAATTTGACAGAGCAATTGTACAAATACACTGGTTAGGAACATAAAATGTCAACAACATTACAACTAGGGCAAGAAATATCAAGACAACAGAGTTGTGTTTTTGAGACTGCTTTCACAAAACACAGAAACAATTTGCAAAATTTCAAAGATCACATTCAAATAACATTTCTAAGAGCAGAGCTATATATTTGAAGAGAGACCAGAACAAACTGATATATTAATGAATATTCACAGAAGTCTTCATACTGCACAAGGAACAAGTTTGGTGTTTTTGTGCAATCTCAATTACAAGCAAAAAGCAGGCCTGTAAATGTCAATTTTGCCAATAAGCAAAAATGGGAAAAGGGAATAGGAGTTACTCAAACATAATGCAATATGGAGCATATACCAGTAATCTTCCACATACATACAGTCAATCCTAGAATAACACAGAAAAAACATCCACTTGCATTTTTATGCACAAACATCTGGTGAATCCAAAGATTGAGAAAAAAATGGGAGTAGAACCTAACTCCTCCAAGCATCCTCTTTAAACGTCAACCACTTTGACTCTCCCACCTTTTCTGAGAAAAGCCTCTGGACCTTCCACCTCTGGCCCTGCAGGGCTCCAGGCTTTCCATTCTGCCTTTCCAAGCCCACCCCACAGGATGCTTATTTTTGTTTCAGGCTTTCAGCTTGCCCAGCCTAGAGCAGCCTTCCCACTGCTCTGTGTCCAGACCTCCCAAGCCTTCATGGAGCTTAGGGCAAGGCCTTCAAAATTAAAGGAGAAAGCATAAGAGCATATAGTCATTACCACCACCATACAACTCCCAAGTCAGATACCCCTGACAGCACTGCTGTCCACCTCCTGGGAGCTCTCCTGGAAATGGAGGGACTACACATATCCCTTTACGCCCTGGGAGGGAGACTTGGCATCCCTCAGTGCAGACTGCAGCCTGCCCCTCATTTGTTAGGATAAAATCAGGGAAGGAAGTGGAGAAAGAGGGCTAAGAGCCAAAAAGGCCGGCACAGGAGGCCACTTGGAAACAAAGTAACACCTTCAAAATGCTGCTTTGGGGTTATTTCTAAGTGGACCAAGGCCCAAAAAAGGATTTCCATGGAGTGAAACTTCAGTTGCTTTAGAACACAACCTGCTCTGGGTCTGTCTGAAACTGTGAAGCTCTTTTCCCTGTCCTCCCAGCTTCTCACACTGAAGCTCAAGAAACACACATAAGGTTATGGTAGGACAGGGGAAAAGGTGTGGATGTCAAAGCTGGCCCAGAAGAACACTGCCCAAACTAAGCAATCAACCTACAGGTGTCCCTTTGAAATGTTTAGACCTTGCTATATCAATTTGGGGTCAGGGCAGAAAAAGGCAGTAAGAGTTCTGGAGTCTATCGTTTAGTAACCTTTCTCCCTCTGGACACAATCAAACAGAGAGCAAATTAAACCACCAGCTTTTTTGCCAGTCTTGTTTTCTGTTTCTGAGTTTTAACTGCTTCGGAGAAAGGGAGGGAGGACGGTAAGGGGACAAAGGAGGAGGGAGTGAGGAGAGAGAGAGAAGAGGAAGAGAGAGAGACAGATGCACAACAGGCCCCACAGGCCAAACATACCTCTTCCGTAGTGCTCCTACCCTGACAACTTTGTCTTGCTCACAGCGGGTGCAGTAGGGTCAGGAGGGAGCTGCCTAATAAAGCTGCGGAGGAGATTAAGGTGGTTTGTTTGCTCAGGCTTAGAAAGGCCAACTGCTGGAAGTGTACTCCATAAGACCTGCTTTGAACATATGACAATTAGGTTGATGGGTAACCATAGGGTGGGAGAAGCAGGGAGTTCCTTTATGCTACCTAGGAGTCTAAGTCTACAGATCATTCCTGAAGAGGAAGGCAATGGTGCCTGTGCAAAGCTCATCCAGAAAGCTGAGAGGTTTGGGCGGGGCCACAGCATAGGCCTTCATACTCACCAGTACCAGGTCACAATGCAAAGTGCCCAAAGACATAAGACGACCAACAGTGATAACACAGAATACCTCTCATCTGTTACCCCAGCCATTCCTAGCAGCCACCCACCAGCCACCTGCTTATCCTGCCAGATGATCAACAGGGTGGATGGCATGGACCCAGGAAGGCAGTTGGGAACCTGTCAGTGGCAGCCTGTAATGTCCAGTTTGGCTGACAGCCGACATCATCCGTATCAACTTCATCTTGCAGCAGGGACACTCCCAGACCTCCCATGGAGTACATGGGTTTCACAGGGCAACCAGCATAAAGTATGAAACCCAGCAGTCATTTGCACATATCGAGCTTTTTTGTGGTAGATAACACTTAAAGAACTGGGAGAAGATCATAGTCACAGAGCCCAAGGCATGCAAAGGAAAGCAATGTATATCTACAGCATCATATGCTTGGCACAGAAGTCATGCACTTGGAAAATATAACAGGATGCAGAACAGCATGAAGGCCCAGAGGAAAAGCACAGGCATAGAAGAGAGAGTCTTGGAACTGATTGTTGAAGAGCTGGAAGAAACAAAGGACGAAATAATCCAGTGTGAGGAGAAAGCAGATGGAAGACTGCATGTTGTTGGCTAAGCACAGGTCCAAAAGGTGGTGGTAAGGAAACTTATGCAGGAGCTTCTCACAAGCACAGGATTAGCCAGACTGGAACCTGAAGGACCTGGGGCTCTCCACTGGCTGCCTTGCTGGGTCTCGAAATCCTCTGCGGGGCCCTTCACCCATCAGGTAGTATTGTAGGGGATTGGGCCACAGTTCTGCTTTGATAATCTCAGCAATCCTGTCGAATTCTAGGAGGCTGTGGTCGGAGAACCAATTGAAGAAACTGGGGATAGTGTTCCCTTCCCGGTTCCTGTGGATATGGGACTGGGGGTCTTGGCCTCGGTGCCAGCGGATTGGAGTGGCAAGAGACACCACCCGGCCAGAGGATCTGCGCTCATATTCCTTGACCAGCCCCTCATTTCGGAAGTAGGGGTTACTCTGAAAGATGAACTTGAATTTGCAGCCTGCTCTGGGGTGTTTAAGCTCCTCCACCTCCAAATTGACCATATACCTCATCATGTCTTCATCTTGGCCACTGATCATAGGTGACAGCTGGGGGTGGTTTCGAAAGGCAGTGACCCAGAAACCTGGGATATTTTGGATAATGAAACTTCTGCGCTGCATATGGAGCCTTCGCATCCGGCCAAACTTGCGCTCCAGCTGAAGGAAGGCCCTGTCGGCCTGAGCATTTACATTTGACAGCTCCTGATCGATGGCCTCCAGCGAGTCCATGCAGTTATTGACCTTCGGGGCCCTAGCCCGAGTCTCCTCTTTCATTCCTCCTACCACCTTTTTTCCCTTCTGAATCGCCTTCTTTTCCTCCACCACCTCCTCTGCTACTCCTTCTTTTTCTGCTGCTGCAGAAACGGAGCACTTTTTTGTCATTTCCTTGATTTTAGCGCGGGGCATCATCGTCTGAAACCCCAAACCCCCTGCGCCACAGGCTTCTGGAGCTTTCTCTTTACGCGGACAGCCATTTTCCTGACTACTGTAGGTCGCCACCGAGGCGCAGGCGGAGGCTGCCTCCCGGCCTTCGGTGGGAGGGGTGACCTCCTTCTGGCCCACTTTGGTCGCTGAGCGGCCGCGACTCCCTGCAACTCGAATGCGGAGCGGGGGGCCCCAGACCGCGGGGCCCCGGGCTGCACCTCCCTCCGCCGCAGTCTCCAAGCCGCCCTCACCTGCGCCTGCCCTCACCTGTGCCGCCTCCGTTTCCTCGCCCTGGCACTGGTTTAGGTCCGGGTGTCCCGGGGCATGATCAGGAGTAGCGAGGCCGCAGGTTTCAGCGACAGGGAAGCTGTTGCCCTCACGCAGGCCGCTCATTTTGGCAGAAGTTAGAGCTGCAGATCTGCACTAGGGCCTTGTCCTCTGCAGAAGCCGCGCTCCACCCCAACCCGCCCCTCGCACCGCCCCCCTTTTCACGCTAGGACTTGCTGCCATGGCAACCGGTGACGTCAGGGCGGTCGCGTCTTAACCCCGCGCGAAAACTCGTTGCTCTTTGTGATTATGCTTTTGTCAAGGGTATTCCTTTGTGTTACAAAATATGAATTTCGTCAGTCTGGGAAAGACTTGGCTTACATAAATGGACGAAGACTAAACTCAAGCATGTGAGAACTGTGTTAATATGGCTTCCTAAGTTCTAAATTAATTTATAAGACACCTAAACTATTCTTTAAAATATTTACTCGAGGTATTCTATTGTCTATTCAAATTAGCACAAATGCCTTCTCTTGTAGATTCAGCAATTAACATTTCTTTAATGTGCGGAGTTATGGCTGTTACCAAAGAATTGAGTTTGATTTTTAATAAAGTGAAGTGTTGCTGTGTTGTGTCATTTAAAAAATTAGGAGCCGCTGAAAGGGAATATTTTCTGATCCTAGTAAGACAAAATGAAGGATTATTTCAATTAGCCTTCGAGATTTTAAAGTTTGTGTGCTTTGGTCAACCACTACGAAGAAATCGGACAATATTTCCTCTTAGCTTTAAATATAAGTAACTATGTGTCTTCCTTTCTTGGGACCCACATGCGCGCGAGCGCGCAAGTTTAGTCTTTTTGAGCGTTACTGAAAGAAGTATAACTTAAGATTTCAGTTTCAAAAAGTATGTGTGTTACATGTCTCTAATCCTCAAGTTACAATCTTAACCTAAAAGAATCCTGCTTCGTAATGCCTTTGGGCATGGAGCCAGCAAATACTTGCCATAATAATACTGTTTATTCAAGTCAGTTCATCCAATTCATTTGATATTATTGTCACTATTATCTGTTGTTATTTGTTGGAGTGTGAAAGTACTGCTTAATCCTTTCAAAACTGCAAGAATGAAGGAAAACATATCTTGTATAGTTTGAATGTTTAAATTATATTACAAAAATGATTATGGTTATTATTCTTTGTAATAGAAATTCCACTAGAATGAAGGAAAACATATCTTGTATAGTTTGAATGTTTAAATTATATTACAAAAATGATTATGGTTATTATTCTTTGTAATAGAAATTCCACTAGAGAACCCCAGATTATGATCACTTTCAAATTAGGACTCAGAAGAAAATCCAGTGAGAAGTAAAGATTTAGGGAAAAAGAGAAAAGCAGCAGGTATATTGAGACTTCCAGTGAGGAAAGTAGTACAGACCTGGCCCAACTAAGAATGAGATGCAAATAATGGAAGGCCACTGCAGACGTTACAGAAAAATAGCCTGTCATGCAGCTTTATAGTTTAGCTCACAAAAGTCTTCCAGAGAATTCATAAGAAATTAAGAATTTATATCTCTAGTCAGCCTACTCAAGGACAGACTGTCTAGATTGACAGCTGCCAGCTAATTGGTTATCTCCCTGAAAAAATGTGCAAACAAGATTCACTCTTCCCAGACTACACTAATTTTTCTCTCCCCTTCTTTCTTTTAATAAATCTTATTTTTGTCTTTGTGAGGTGAAATTAATCTATTGATTTATCCTTCTTCTAAACAAGAAAACAGTGTAATATAGTTAAGTGACTATATTTATTTGAGTTATTCTTTTGACACTACTTTGCCTTTCTTTTCCTAAAGATTCCTTAGGAAAAGAAATCGGTTGGATGATTAAATCTCCATTACTTTAAACATCCCTGTCTCTGGCTTTGATTTTTCCTGCCAATGGAGTCCTTTTCCACTAATAACTGTCTGACCATTCTCTGAAAGTCCATGATTGGACACTTTAATTGGCAAATTGTCTCCTCCCATCTCCTATGAATAACCTTCCTTAACTGCCTTACCATTTTGATAGTCTTCTGAATTTTTATAGTTCTTACATCCTTTGCCATCCAATTTAGTATTTATGTATCTTCTATCTTTAACTTTCTTGGTTGTTTCATGCAGATCAGTTTCCTCATCCCAGCTAGACAAGAACTGCATTAGTGGCTGCTTCTTCCTTGGCATATACTATAGTACAGCCCAGTGACTACCTCATAGAAGAAGTTAATGAAACTTGATGATTAGATTTAAATGAAAAATTTTAAAGGTTTTATCAAAATGAATAATATGACTGTGCTGGTATTTCATTTTGAGTAGGGTGGATATATAGTAACTGTGAATCATTTTATATTTTTTGTGTATAACTGAGCCTGTTCTATTGGCAATAAACCTCACTGCACAGGAAAAGATACATAACAACTTACGATTCTATGGAAAAATATCCACAAACAATGCCATGTAAGAAGTAATTTTCATTTCCTATGGGACAAGACACAGGAAAAGATACATAACAACTTACGATTCTATGGAAAAATATCCACAAACAATGCCATGTAAGAAGTAATTTTCATTTCCTATGGGACAAGGAGTTTAACAGAAGTTCAAACATAAATTAATACAAATAGAAATGACTTTACTAAAATGCACAGTAAATACTGGAAAATGAAATATCCCCTATTATTACTCTTTTGAACAGCAAGATTGTTTTTTCAGAACAATATGATTTCTGGTTATGTACACATTATAACCTTTATTTAGTGTCTTCTATATACCGGACACACACTTAAAAGTGTTATTTAATCCTCACAACAACCCTGTGAGGTGGTACTCTTATGACTTCCACTTTACTTTACCTCAGAAGGACTTGGCAAAGAGAAATTGAGTCACTTACACAAAGTCACACCAGCAAAGAGGCCAGCAATCCAGACCCAGGTAATCTGACTCAAAAACCTGTGCAGTCATTCATTATATTATTCTGCAACCCTACACATAAAAGTGAGAAGGTACTTTTCTTAGAAATAAGACCATACAACCATCCCAATTTATGTTAAATCTTCTCCTTCATTTTTCTCTTACCCTTCCCCATCCACAAATTGTTGGGAAGTGCCCAGTTCTTAAGGAAGAAACAAGAATTCATGATCCTCGCAGTAAGGCCTTAAATCGAAAGTTCTCAATTTATTAGATTAATATTCCTTTTGCTTGTTTTTTCTTTAATGGTGTTATGTAGACCCATTCTTACTGGAGGCGGTTATTAGGCACGGGCTACAGTCCCACCTCTACCTTTCCGTAAACTATGGAAATTTGGGCAAGCGGTTTAACTTTTCAAAATCTCAATTTACACATTTTTTAAAAATGGGACTAGTAAGATCACCTCACCTATATTCATCCACTTCTGACAGTAATGGGTCAACATTGTAATGTAAGTGAACATTCTTTCTAAGTAAGAAGTTGCTTTTCTAATATTTCTCTCCTCTCTCACCCCCAGTTCCTTCTTTCTTTATTTTCCTTCCTTTCTTTAAAAAGTATTTAATGAACCACTTACAGTCAAAAGATACTTTTGAACAATATGCCCTGAATGACCCTTAGCATATGAGTCACCTCTCCTGGGCTCCAAAAGCCCAGAGTCGAGTTGAGCAGCAACAGAAGCATTCCATAGAAACATTTCTCAAAACAGGACAAAGGCATCTTCAGCAGTCAGCCCCTCTGTGTCCAGGGCCAGGCCAAATTTGCCACTTCCAACAGAAAGCTGTCCTGCTTTTCAAGAAAACAGTGTTTAAGAACCACATCCTTCACATTCCAGGAAAATGCTATTACAGGAAAATTCCTTATAGGTAAGAGTCAAGGGTAGATCTGGCTTTGGCACCAATTCAATGTGAAGTTTGATGTGGTGGCCATGAAAATGCACCTCACAGACCTCCAAATACAGGGAAAATAATTGCAATGATTGCTGCACCTTACAATCTACAGACTTTTCATACTAAGACCACACCTCCCATGAACTAATCCAGCCAGTGACTGAGCATAGGGTACTAGAAAGCTGCTTTCTGAGAGATAGGACTGACATCTGACTCTACTTGGCTCAAGGACACCCCAACTGGCCTTGCTGAATCTGCCTTAGGCGATATAGGAGTCTAGTACACTTCTACCAACTTCTTCTTGCTCTCCTTTTCACTCAAAATCAGACTTGCTTCCATCTTTTTCTCTGGCTCCCTCCCAATTTCACTCACTCAGGTGTTTCCCCTAATAAAATCTTGGTTCATCTAATCCAAATAACTTCTGCTTTTCAGAGGAACCAGAGTAACACACTTGGAAGACCATTTAACCTTGTTTCAATTTTTATATCTTGCAAATAGGAAGAGTGAGAGAGAAGAGCTAGAAATAGGAAAAGCCTTAGTGTATATCATGTGCCATACATTATTTTACATAATCATTCCATCATATTTAATGTGGCAGGTAGTACTGCTATTTTACAGAAGAGAAAGCTGAAAATAGAAATCAAATCACTAACCCCAGGTTACTGTAAAGTCTACATTTGAACCCAGGCCTCTTCTGACTTCAAGGTTTTATCTTCTCTACCACTTTTTCTCTTCTGGCTGCTTAGTTGTGAGGATCAAATGAGATAACATGTAGAAGCACTTAATATAAAAAAGTGTTACTTCAAAGCCAGACATTATTATTTTTCTGTTGGTTGCAGTCAGGACCACATGATATGCAGGGCCCAGAGCAAAATGAAAACGTGGAGCTCCTTGTTCAAAATTTATTGAGAACTTCAAGATGGCACAGTAGAGCATTATACCAAGTGTGGGACCCATGAGCCCAGCCATAGTAACATCAGAACTGTCAGTACAGGGGCAATAAAGTTGAGCTTGTAAGAGATTTTCTAGATGAATAGAAATAATACTCTTAGAAGAAAAATATTCCTCCTTAAAAATATTCTTTTATAACTTTTTTCTTGAAATTCACTAGTATACCATCATTAGAATTTTTTAAATCAATATAAGATCTTAGTTATAATTTAAAGGAGAAATAAAAGGGAAATAGCTCTTAAAATATCTATTCTAATTTTTAAATGCTTGGTCATGCCTACATGAAATGACATGCAAATATTTTCTCCCATTCCATAGGTTGCCTTTTCAGTTGATTGTTGATAAAATCTGTAAGTATTAGAAAACTTTATGCC